GCAATCACATTTTCAGAAATGCAAATGAAATCTAGTTTTCTTTGTGCCTTTTAAATGCCTCTGGGCACAGCATGTCTCTGTCAGGATAAATTGCCCTCCAAGAAGGGAGGGCTGCCATCAGTGAGGGTTCCCGAAGCCACTGCTGGTAAAAGTCAAAGGAGGTGACATTATAAACCATACTGAAGCCATGACAGAACTGCACTTAAACTAAGATTTTGCCAGCATTTCCTCAGCTGCAGCAGGAGTTTAACAAGCAGCCTCCCCACGATACATAGATATACATGCATATATTATCCATAACGATACCTAACAGGACTCAGATGTACTTGTGATCTTTTCTTCAATGGAGCTATGCTACACCTTGCAATGTAAAGCCAGGCAAGAAGGGTGACTCTCATCTAGAAACTGGAATTAAACCCACAACTGCTGACTGCAGCACGCTTGTTCAGTCCAGCACATACAGGAGAAAGCGATGGGAAGGTGCATCTCGCTCAGCTGCCTCCAGTAGAGATGAACATTTTCTCACCGTTTCCATTTTCTGAAGTGGCAGAGCTCTCTCCCATCAGTAAAAGGGTTCTGACTTGTGCTGCCCAGGGAAAAGGGAATCTCCACTGCCTGAAAAATTTGATGTCCCTGGAAACAATTACAGCAACCGGGAAAGTCAAAATCCCAATCCGTTCCCCTCCCTGCCCACCCCAGGGCGCAGGTGCTCTCCTGTCCAGGCTTGCTGACCCCGGTGCCGTCGGTCGGCTGCGCGTCCCTCCTGCCTTGCTGCACTCAGGACACCTCCGGGCCTGCCTCTCCGACAATTTCCAGCATATAGCAGGTGAGAAAGGGCCGCAGCATCTGCTCTCAGGGCAATTTCAGCTCAAGCTCCCCAGCGCCAACAACTGGTCTTGTCTTAAGAAGCAAAAGGATTTTTATCTTTTTCACCACAAACATTTTCCACCAGGAAATATTTTAATGTTTTCAATTAAAAGTGCCATTTCTGGAGATTTAAAACAGCGACACAGCAGTAAGAAAGCATCGTACAAACCAACACTGAGTAGAGAAGAAGCTTTTAAAAATAAATCTTCTATAGACTGTCCAGTGCAACGTAAAAAAATTCATCGTTACCCACATATATTATAAAACGACATTTATCTTTCCTCAACTGCACAAATTGATTTACTTGCCATTACTCATGAATTCTTTTCAGGTTCTAAGGGCAATATAAAGGGACCATTTTGCCCAAGAATGCACGCGAGACAAACCCTGCCCCGTTACGGAGTGGGAATACAGTATTTAACGTGTTATTGGGGGCAGCTGGATGTACACAGAAGTGTTAGCAAACACATTTCTGCATATAAAGTTATCCATGTGCATTTACAGAAACGTCATTTCCAAAGTCGCGTGGCTAATTTAGGCATTAACAAGTCATAAATATTTGAGTTACAACATCTGTGAACCAAAACTGAGATGCATGAAATACAAACATTATGGAGTGCCGGAGGATTATTTTTCTCAAATCAAACAATACTCTTGTAAGTTCCTCAGTGAGTACTTCAGACAGATATCTGAAGAAAAAATAGAGCTGATACTTGAATCTATTTAATAAAATATAAACATTCTACCATAAATTACCATTAGGATTGCCTATGCAGTCCATCATTAGTTATGCCAAAAATAGGCACTCTGGTGAATCTTAGCACTGTTTTCTCTAATAATCAGCACGCATTGCTTTTCCTACAAAGTTAGCTTTTAACATGGGCCTAAAATAAAATGTCAGCAGAAGCATACAGGTTTTTACACACATAAAAAGTAGCAAAGGGTAAAATTGATATTCACTCTTAAATTCCGTATTTCTCCAGCCAAGTGCCAATTTGTGCAGCATTAACGTTGCAGTAACGGCTTTTGCATATTCATTTTTCTAGAAACAATAGTCCTAAACTTTGCAATAACAAAGGTATTGATGTATCAAGATGACTAGAACTCATCCTGAATATCCTCCACTACTGGAATTCTATTTGGCAACACCAAATCCTTTCATATGCCCACGTTGCTGTCTTTATTGCTAATTTTATCAAGATGATGATTAAAATCAAGCACACTAAGTTTGGCACTCCAGTGGAATTCTTCTGTTTTTTTTTTTTTTTTGTTGTTCCAAACAATTCCTTACCAAATGCATTAAGTATTTAAATTATGAGCAATTTCTTAACTTTTCAGTGTGGCAAACAGGAAAAAACAATTCAGTTCAACCAAGAGAAACAAACACACGGAGACCTCCCCTCCCAAAAGGTCTTTGGGCAGTCGCCGAGAACCTGCAGCCCGTTTTCCCCGCGCCTGAGCCCTCCCTTTGGGCAGCTCTCCTGGGTCTCCCTGGCACTCCCAAACGCTCTGGAATGGCATTTGCAGTGTAAACAAATGTCAGCACTTAGAGTATTGTAAATTATTTACAGTAAACTCATATAAGACTATAGGGCACTTCAAGGCCTTGTTAAGGTTGCAAAAATTATTCCCAGAAACGGAATTATGGGAGCACCTGGTGCTTAGAGGCAAAACCAGGAAAAATACCACGACCTGAAACATGGAAGACGACTTGATTTCACTTTACTAAGGCATTCCCCGCTGAGCAGAGAGCAAACCTGGGATGACTTACCCACAAGACAAAAAGTTCAAGTACCCTGTAGATCACGTAGCAAAAACATGATGGTTAATGATGAAAAACAGTGAATGTGCTTGTTACTGTGTCTGACACCAAGCTTAATACTACAGATATGTTACCTAGGGATGATCACTGAACAGCATCTTGGCCTGTTGGATGGCACAGCAATGGTCATCAGAACCCAGAGCCTGCAAAACCTTGACTTAGACAGCAAGAACTATTTGGCATTGGCAAGGAAAAAGTGTTTCCATCCAATTTTCGTAACTACGCAACTGCCTGTCAACAAATCACAGAGTGACTTTTAGACAAATTTGTATTTTCTATAAATATTGTGTAGGCAATTTTAGAATGTAAACAAAAGGAAAAACATTTTAAAATCTGTTTTTCAACTGCTAGTCTAAACACATTTAGTGATGTAAAATAGCAAATAATCAAGCCAATATTTATGGTAAAAAAATCCCAATTTATAGTTACTTGAATTTTTCAGAGAACAGTCTTGAATCTCATTTTAAGAGTAAGTTTTAGTGACCCGTCCTTCCTGAAAAATATTTCAACAATTAATAATAATTTTAAGCATCTCATTTAAGATGCAAAAAAGCCACTAGAAAAAGATCAGAACAATCTATCTTATTTGTAACCATATCAGTATATTAATAAATGAATAAAATAGTTTAGAAAAAGAAAAAAGTGAAATGAGATGCTTCAACCTTGCTAGGTCAAATCCTTAGCTGTGCTGCAATATCTTAGGTTGTCAGAGAAGGTTTATGAAAATGGTGGGGAGTTGGAAGAAACACAACTGGGCGAAAGGAGCAGCTGAAATCTGTTAGGTTTTTGGATCACATAAAACCGTACTGAGCAGTCGTGTAACATCAGTACCTGCTGGTCTCTACAGTCAGGGCGTTTGCAGTGCAAAGAACATATGCACTGATGAAGTAACCAATGCAGACACTGTAAGTCTGACCTAGTAAAGACTGTGTTTAGGCCAGACTATAACAGCTCAATCTATCAGAGCCCTGGAAAGCACTGTTCTGCCCTAGAAGGTGTAAGAGTTCACACAAGCAGCTTTTTTACGCTGGTCTGCATCGCAACGTTTACAAAGGGAAACAAAGAAGGTTTTAGTACACCTAACTGTAATGTAAACTCTATTGTTTGTCAAATTTGCAGCTGTTCATCTAACTGATGAACAGTCTAAACGATCATTAGATGAACATCTAAATGATAAGGAGTCAAATAGTCAAACCATGCAAATAAACCGCATTAACCCCCCCAATATTGTAATGAAAAATAGAATCTTGGCCCAAACTTTTCAAATGGGGGTGGCAAAGCTACAATAACGATGATGTCCAGAGGTCTGGGATACCCAGCAGTGCTGACTTACAAGTTGAAGATCCATCAAGGACAATAATATTTCTGGGAGAAACTCCTGCAAATTGAGAGAGAACACAGCAGACTTCTCTCCTTATTTATGCCAAGTGCCCACTTACAATTTTTGTGATAACGTAGCTGCTTGACCGTAGCTGCAATTTCAAAGTCATGGTATTACCACCACTTTGAACAATATCACAAAGAAAAAGATACAGCTGAGGTGAGACTCTGTTGCAAGAAAATAATCTCTTTGAAGGGGGGAAAGGAATTCTGATTTAGGTGCTCAAACAGTTCATCATTTTTAGACAGAAATTCTACATAATTTCACACTGTTTTAAAATCTGAGCGTGAGACAACATTTTACAGAAAAGAAAGATATAAAGTAGTATTTTGTATTATTTACAGTAGAAATGATAGCTCTGATCAAAACAGAAAAAAAATTCTCATATATATGTTCTCTATGAAAACCATACAAGTTCTCTATGAAAACCATAACTAAAGATAAGCTTAAATACACCCGTTGATCAAGACAAGAAACTCCGTGTTATTTATACACAATGGAAAACAGTTTAAAAACGGTTTCCATTGAGATACCTGTTGGCACATCGTCCATCGGAAGTTCCTTTTTATCTCACCTGGGAACGTGATTGTCTACAGACACTTTTCCCTGTTCAAAAAACACGCCAAGCATATGTGCATTTTCATGATAAAATAGTGAATTATAATAACTTGAGTTCACCCCACTGCCCAGTCAACCAGTGGGTTGTTGTGTTTGGTTTTTTTAAATACTGCAGGCCATACGAAGTATCTTCACTAAAATATCCAAGGACTTCATGATGTACACTTGTCTTTCCACCGTCCCCTTATGTTTTCTGTAATGAAGAAGTATCAGTGATTTCTCCTTGCACATACCGAAACAATCTTCTTACAGTTTCTTACGGCCCACAGAAAGGCGGACCCTCTCACGCAGGTGTAACGGGAGGATGCTGCATCACGACAACGCCATCATCATGACTGACACAAGCACCGCAATGCTGACTGTCCGCCTGCTGCCATCCGACGTTCTCCGGGCATGCAATACAGCAAATACTGCATTTGTGTGATTGGTTGGTATTTCTACATTGCAAATCATGCCTTCGCAGCAAGAAACACATTCCTGTTGAGAAAAAGGAGATCACTGGACATAAGGCAGTTCAGCAGTGGCTTTTAGAGATATATGTTCTTTCAACGGTTAGAGCCAAACAGACTAATCGCTTCCACCCGGCAGCCTGAGCCAAGGCAGCAGACAGGGCATACATTCTACAACTTCTCTTCCAAATCACGCACCGCGGCCTTCCTAGGGTAACTCATCACCTAGTGCTGTCGCTGGGCTTCGAAACTGTGATGTGATGTAAGACAGCCATGTTAGCTGTACCGACAAGTTCATTAACGCTGTAGAAAATGGAGAAAACTTTCCACCACTTTCCCCTTCTAACACAGGAGCTAAAAACATGCATTTGAATGTCTCAAGTTTCAGCTTTTTAAGCTAAAACATACTGACTGTAAAAACTCTGTTCCCATTCATTTTTCCCCTCAAGCTTTTGTATTCAGTGTAGCTTTGCATGCTGAACTTCAGACTTTCTTTTTCCCGTGTTCTAGTGCCAGAGAACCACTGACACAGCCGATTTTCAGGATGCAATCTGAAAATAATTCCCCTTACTTGACACTCTTTACTGGAAAAACCAAGAGAATGCCAATTTTTATCTAATCCAAAGGCACGAGAACTCTTATAAGATAAAAGGCAGCGGAAGGCAGGCTGCATAGTTATTTCATGCCCTCAGTCCACCAAAACCTGTTGAAACAATGGAAGTCAATTCAGATAACATACAGATTCTTTTAGATTTAACATGGATGTTGTCTGCTTCGTCTTTGGTGTCTGAAATATTTTGTGTTAAAAATAACATAACATAGCTAACGTTCTTAATCATTAAGGAATTAGTGGATAATGCTTTACTGCAGTGAATAATACATTGGTGGGATATGCTTGGTTATTACAATGAACTTCTACCTAGCATCCCAAGGATGGGAGAAGGCAGCAGTTCTAGCTTTTTGTCATGGAACAAAAACTCACGCTCATGCGTCGCCTTCACGGACAAATACAGTCTTGCTTTGTGCACCACGCAGTGTTATCCAGGTTATGTTATGCAGAGACATGACTGGACTACCCACCTCCCAGTCTGGCTTGCCCGAGGGCTGACGGTGACACAGCTGCAGCACCGCAAGCGCTGATGCAGGTTGCATAGCCTACCTGGGCACCCTACCCAGCACTCAGAAACCAAGGCCCATGCACACACTAGCAACGCTCCAGAAAGCTCAGGTGTTTCTTTAGAAGCTGTTATTACATCCTGTCACATAGCAGCACAAACAGGAAAGTAGGAAGATGGGGGCAGTCATGCTTCTGTTGCAGAAATTTGGTTTCTGTTGTTAAATACTGGAGATATTTTTATTGTTAAATACTGCAAGTACTGAAATGCAAACCTCAAAACCAAGCTGCTGCTCTTATACAAAGAGTAGTGCTTACTGTGTGGCCACTTTCCCTGTGATGGTGGCAGCCTACAAAATGGCATTCTTCTCCAGTAGCACATTTTTTGGTGACTGATGTACTCTTCCCATGGTCTGTGAAGAGATGAACTGTCAAACAGTACTGCGTACCTACAAAATAAATTTAAAAATGTTTATTTGCCTAAAGTATGCATCCTTTAACAGGATTTTAAAACTTCACACAATTTAGCACAATATTCCAATAAAAATGACTTATTTCATCTGTATAAAGCCATTTTTCAACTTGATCAAAAAACCTTTTAGAAAGAAATTAATTAGTGATGAAATCTTAAGCTTAACTGACCCTTCAAAACTCCAGAAAGGCTGCTATCATTTAAACTACTTATTAGCACTATAATCTACACATTTATCTTCCATTCTCTACTCTTTTTTGCAGCACATTCTTGCTTTATTTGTTTCGGACGTTTCCTCATTCCTCTAGTTCATTTCTTCCCCTTTCCCACTGTTACTGTGAATATCACTGCGAAGAAAAACGAGGGAACATATTTCCATTCATTTCTATGTATCTATCATTCTCTCATACAAGTATGATCCCTAGTCATTCAGGTTTTGCTGCTCACAAGCAAGTGTGTAGCCTAGAGAGACTATTATATCTTGGGATGGTATCCAAAAGGAAGGGGATAAGGCTACAAAGGCAATTCTTACGTTTTTTTAAACAACATCTTCAAAATTAATTCCTAGGAAGCACGTAGCTATATATACACACATACACACACATAATTAATGAATATATTATTGATATATTAATAATGCATTAATTACATATTAATAATGTATTGCTATATCTTATATACAATGCTGTATACATATAGAGAGATATAAATAACTTTTCATTGTTGCTTTGCACTCTGAAATGGTCAAAATATTCACCTCAGCAGAAACTGTATGACTCAGTATTACTAATAACGTAACTGAGGGCACCAGTGTGTTGGCATGTTAATCCTATTCAGTTGGGCTTCTACAAGACGGCTGAGTCAGGGAGAGGCAAATTTAACTATCGTAAAGAATCTCCTTAGCACAGACGCACTTACTTTCAGGACACCATCTATCTTCAGCCCATCTGTTACAGTTGTAATTGTCCACCGCGTTATCACAGGTAAAGCACTTAAAACTGTTTGGAAATGGAGTGGCTTTAAAAATATTAAAATAGAGTAAGTTTGCAAATATTAAGGAAAAAATGTTCAAGATAATACTGTAAGTGCTTGTACACGCATATACTTAGAAAAACATACTACATACATTTACGTATTTTCAACGATACATCACTGTTAGACAAATAAAACCTATGAAACAAGTTTTGTAGAAAGCTTTTACATTTTTAACTGGTTTTGCTATGCCTGAAATTTAAAACATCTCCTCCTGTTTTCACTCTCTCACAATCCAAAATACCATTTAAATAGTGGTGGGAAAAACAGGAAAGAGAGAACATCATATATATATGCACGTGGTAGTACATCCGCATATACGTTTGTGCAGATACACAAACACAATCTACATTCAAATGGCTTTTGATTCCTTTGATGAAAAAAACACATCTTCAAAACCAGCTTCAGATCTTGATCTGAAACTCTGAAGAAGCCTGAACCCTTTGACAAAGCGATCAAGAGGACTATTTTAAAATCTTATTTACATTCTATAAGTATATAAATTATTGTAAGATGCACAGTTCCCTAGATGCGCCTATACTGCTATTATATCTAGCTGTCTTGACTGTTTTAATGATACATATCATGAAAATCTTCTCCCCTTAAATGAAGGGATAGAACACTTCCGACGCTAGATAAGAAGCAAAAAAATGATGCTATTAGTGACAACTGGCTTCACAGGTCTCACAGGGTTTTTAATTACCTTCAGTTTGAATTAATTGCATACAGCGCACCTATTCTTTCCCTTACAAAAACCCCAACGAGGTAGAAGACAAAAACATCTGTTCTGTATTATTTATGAGAAATCCACTGCACAATTTGCTCTGTAGGAAGACTTTTCAGAGACAGGAAAATATAATACAAGCACTTAAAATGTGAAACCTATTGCCCTCATGCACTCTTTAATTTAGCAATGCATGCAATTGTTTGTTTTCTTTCAGTCAACTTATAAAATCTTAGAAATAAACAAAACTGCTGTGGGTGGAAAAGCAGAAGTTTTATTTTAAACTTTTTATCCTTTATCTTTGAAGAAGACGAACACCTAAAAAGCAAAGGATTGAAAGAATATGGCAATTAACTAAAATGTTAAGCTACAATTGCATACACAAAAAAAAGCGTAACTGTGTACTTACGGTCTAGTGGAGGTCTCACATTGTAAAAGTTGATGTTCTCAGCTGAAACCCAATTTCCTGAAAGGATGAGGAACGGAAGAAAGGCTCCGGCCAGCATGTGATAGAATAACAACATGCTGAGTATTATTGTACATGAAAAGCAAAACTCTTAGGCCTAGGAAAGAAAGGGAATACATTATTTAGGGGGAACCATAAAGAACTGAGCATGTAGAACAACAAATTTCCTATTAACTACTTCTGAAACCTTGAAAATTCAGTCCGCAGATCTGGACTGTGAAGATGGCTAATGCAAGCAAGCATGCAATGATGAACAATGCAAAGCTGAGCAGTTACTGCCTTCTGCTGGCCAGGATCCTGTACAGAGTACCTAAATTTCCACAAACTTAAAAAAGTTAACATTATTTCCTTAATCTATTTGTCCTTCTAAGCAATGTCAATCTTACAGATTCCTTGTAAGCATTCCTAAAAATCAGCACCAAAACAGAGCTCCTTTGTATCCTACTCGAAACAGACAGGATTACAATACCATTAAAGAAAGTAAAATGCAGACAAACGTCATTTTTCACACCAACAGCCTAGAACCCAAGACCAATACCTTATCTGATATAGATCAATATATGTCTATTGACTTCAGATAAGCTACATCAACTGAATTGTAAGTGCGCTTATCAGTGGCACGGCATTAAAGACCATGAGTGTAGATTAGATTTATTTCTTTTTAAAGAGCATACCAAGGAAATGCTAAGGAAGATGCCTGGTGATGTTACACATGTTTTGGAGAACTGCAAAGAGAGATGAGATCCATGTTTTAGGTGTGCTTTGCACATTTACTTGGGGCTCCCCAGGTACTTTGGTAAGGCTTTATAGAGAAGAACTAATCAATGAACGTTTTGGTCAGCTCGACATTTAGATGTACACACATACATACATACACACACAGAGGTATATATGGCAAATTCCAGTGATACCGGAAACCTAGTTCAGATATTAAAAAGTATAATCAGATTAAATGGCTCTCTGCCCATGCAAATTCCCAGCAGGAGAAACAGGCTTGAGTGGAGGCTCCCGCCAAACCAGAGACGTTGCTTTGAGCTGCCAAGTACATTCATTCAGAAATCTCTCTGCACACCCTGCGCAGGCCTGTGTAGATGCACCCCACGCCTGCGCAGGAAGCTCTGGCTGAATCCAAGCACTGAACCGAAAATGCTACTCAAGACCATGGCAGAGAAGTCAAAGGACTTCCTTTTTTTTCCTGTTTTTTTGTTTGCTTGTTTGTTTGTTTTTTAATCCCAATTGACACAGACAGGAATTATTTGAAAGATGGCTTTGCCAACAAGCCAATCAACAGAAAATTCAACTTTATCCAACTTTTATCCAGAAAATCCAACTTTAACAGTTGGACTCGATGATCTTAAGGGTCTTTTCCAACCTTAACGATTCTGTGATTCTATGATTCTATGCATTGGGAGTTTAGCCATCCTACTTAAGATTTGTCTTCTAAATCATGGCTTTATGAATATATTTCAGTAGATACTGAGAAAGTCATACCATACCTGTACCTGCAGCGCACCTCCAAGACTATTTTCTGTGGATGGTCCAGATTTCTTCTGAATATAGCCCAAGATGTAAAGAAGGATTAAGAAGAAGAATGTGTGGAAAACAAACAGCGACTGATCATCATAATTCTGTCCCGAAGGAACTAATTAGCTTAAACACTGTATGTCCTTATCTATATTGAAAATGAAGACAGAAACCTACAAGTGTGGTGGTTTTTATAACAAAATATCCAAAGAAGCACCTAAATGACACAGTATGGCCCTGCCTTATTGAGTGCTAGCCTACTGCAGATATACAGATTCCCTCCTCCCGGGGATACCCCAATGCCATAAAAGACAAATGAAAGACAAAAAGTGGAGCAAGGAGACACTCAGTCCTTCCCTGAGCATAAGTTTATTTCTCTTGCAAGGGAAAAACATTCAGGCAATGACCTGGGCTGGACCAGACTATACCAGATGAATATGTATTTCATACTCTATTGAGATATCCAAACTTTCAACACATGCTACAGCAAAAATAGAAGCACCAACCAGCAGAAAGGTAACCTAGAAGAGCAAAGACAATCATCAGCCTCCAGATTAGAGGTTACTAGCAAACTATGAAGTAAACAGGTCCCCCACAGTTCATTCCGTACTGAAACAAACACAAAAATGTTGGTCAAATCCCCAACACCACTGCAAAATCGGAAATAAATCTAAAACATAGTTACAGTTCTCTCAGTTAAGCACACGATATTTGCAGAGTGATATTCTGCAGCATTAAGGACGGGCTGTTTATAACCCACTTGACTTGCCTCACTAGCACATGCTCGACGTGCACGTTTCACATGTACACTTAGTTTTAGTGGGGGGGGGGTTCGATTTGTTGAGAGACAAACCTGTGCATCACGACTGGATGCTCTTCTGACAACAAGTCAGCCCACATCATGTTCTGTCACTGAGCTGTGGCCTCCAAAGCCTATTTCATGACCCTTTAATATCTTCCAAGACAGATGAGCAGAATGCGGCATTATCCAGGACAGGAGAAAGGGAAAAGAGGAGACAGGGCTGCTACTACAGTTTATGAATGGTCCAACATGCTTATCCAACTGAACTTCTCCTTTAGCATTTTTAGCTCTATCAGTTTATGTTGGAGACATCTCTCCCTCAAGTTCCTTTTGTTTTACACAGTTCATTTTAAGTTAGTGCTTAAAAACTCCATCCTTTGCTGTCTGTATCTCAGATTCTTCAGATCAGTTTTTGCTCACAAAATAACCTTTTATCCCAGTGTCAAGAGGTGGCAGAATTTCTATTCCAGCTGACGCATTTCTTCTTTTCTTCATAGACAATAATTCCCCATATTATCCCATCCCGCTCTCTGCTTTAAGGTATTTTGGATCAGGTTTCCATGATTTAACCAAGAGAAGGAAGCACCGCAGTGCATCAAACCCCTGTATTAATATCATAACCATTATTCTGAATGAGTTGAAGAGCTAAAGTCAATGTAATCATAAAATGTCATACGTACTGGAAACAAAATACATTAGCATCATTTCTGCAAAATTATACTTGCCATGAAAATAGCCAATCTGAGAAAAAATTAACAGCTAAAGATGCACAAAGGCTAACTGAAAGAGATCTTCATTTCCCACACAGAGGAGAATTCTTACATGGTGATTTAAAAACAAAAATACCCCCGAAGCACAGAACATGAAACGCAATTACGCACAATTGAATTAGCCAGCTCTTCAGTCATGTCCCCTTTCTCTGATGCAGACGACACATCCCTCCTGTCACCCTATTTACAGGTTGTCCTTTCCTATTCTTCCCCGTAGGTATCTCCCGTCGTCCATTCTGGGAGTCTGAACGTAGAACGAGGAGATGTCTTGTCTGACTCAGTACAGCCCCTCACTCTTACATTCATCCCATTTATCCCACTACTCCGCAGAAAGAGATTAAAGCTACTTTTAACAGCAAGGTGGAATTTTACTGTGCTGAGCCACTTTTCCCTACCTCCCTCGGCTCAGCCTTTCCACTTGGAGGAAGACAGAGGGAAGGGGATGGTAACGCTGCGCCAAAGCAAGCCTGCTCCGAAGCTACCGGTGCCGGTGCCAGGATCAGCTGGTCCCCCGCCCTGGGGGGCAGTGGCACAGTGATCTTTCGGTACCATCGCAATCTCTGCATCCCTGGACAATCAGGGATCCAGTGTTCACCGATGCCAGTAAGGCAGCATCGGGCCCTTAACGCGCACAGGCTGCTTGAGCGCTGTCGGTAAGAGCATGAGAAGAATCTCTTTTGTGCCTCTAGTGCCGACATCCTTCTTCACGGATCCCTTGCAAAATAGCTCCATTTATGCCCTTTGAATATCACAAGCAAGTTACTTTTAAATTGGCAAGCCAGTTTTAATCAAGGAGCAAACTTCAGTGAATTTCAGCCAGCTCAATAGCATTTAATTCTTTCAGTTTTACTCTGTAGGAAGACAAGGTATTGAATCATTTCAATGCGTAACAGTTGCAAAATTTATCTCCTTAATGTATCTATTTTCTGCAGCTTCTACTAGGTTGAGGAAAATTTGCCTTTATGGGGAGCCTGGTCTGTAACTTGATCTGATGCACCTGGGTAGCAAATAAAAGGCACAATTACACTTGTGCCAGCTTTCTACAAATTCAAGCTCTCTCCTGCTCCCCTCCCCCAAGTTCCTATTGCTTTCCCCAGAGAAGCTCACGCCAAATGGAAAATTTTAGAGACTATAAGTACAAAAAAGCTAGTCTTCAGTTGGCGTAAAGCACAGTAAATTGACCTCACCGTTTGCTGTAGTCAAAGGTGTCCTTGTTTGCTAACCAGGCCAATAAATAATGGATGTCGTTTGAGTTAGTCTTAGTTACACAGCTGCACCACAAGTCACTCTCAAACAAAATAGGAAAATATTGGCAAAAAAATGGCTTTCATATCTTATCCAAAATCTTTTAAATGTTTATTTTCTTCATAGTCTCTTATCTCTGCTGTGCTTTCATATAATATTATCTAGTAGCATGAGTAAACATTTCATCATGCCCAATTAGGAACTCTCATTAATGAAGGAAAAAACTGTCACAATACAGAAGATAAACTTATATAAACAAGAGCAAACATGGAGACATACCTCTCCCGGGGTGAGGGAAGAAGACCCAAGCGGGGAGGGCTGTTAATATATGCTCAGTAAAGAACTTGTGGCTAAAGCACGTTTCAAGAAAACAATGAGGAATACAATGGCTGAAATAATGAATCTATTCCAGAGGGTTTTACGGTTTATCTCGCAGCGTGTAATAGCAGAGTAGGAAGCAGTGTGCTTGATTTCTGATTTTAATAAAATTCAAGTCTGTCTACATTGTTTTTCCTGGCAAACTCTGTGGAGGATTAGCAGATTTAACAGCAGATATGGAATGCAAATGAAACTTCCTCCTGTCATTTAGTGAGCAATTTTCAGGTGCTATTAGATAATTGCAAATGCTTATGTTAAGCTTGTTAAATACCACTTCGGGACATAAGAGTTAGAAATATATAGGCAGAAAGGTATGTATGTTAAGGGCTGAAAAAGTTA